AGAAAGGCAGAGGTAGACCTAGGAAGACTTGGGCTTATTGTATTAAAAATGATCTTAATTCACTAGAACTAAATGAAAATATGACACTAAATAGGACGCAATGGAGAAAAAAGATTCATGTAGCCAACCCCACGTAGTGGGATTAAGGCTTTGCTGTTGTTGTTTGAGTTTATGTGTGATGATGGCGTGAATCTCAACCCAAACCCGACCCAAAAATACATTTTATGTGGTACAAATATAAATGCATCTTAAATTTAACTCACTAATACTATTCCAAACTGTAATTTTTTTTTAAATTATGTAATTCCTTGCTCATGTCACATTAGAATTTTCAATGGCTGGCAGCATCCATTCAGTCTTAAGAAATAGTTGAATGAAGACTTTTATTAGGAGAATTATGGATATTGTAACTTAGTCCAAGTTTACAAAGGTCTATTTATTTATTTATTATTGATTATTTTTATTTATTTTTAATTTGTTGACCAGTAGAGACCACCATCCATCTATCAGAGATAGGAAGCCAAGTGAAAAATAAATTGAAAAAGACTTGTAACAGCTCTGAAAAGAAAAAAAAAGAGGGCATTTAGATACCCAATTTCTATGTATTTACATAATTAACACCTAATTTTAATTTTTATTACATTTAAACAACCCAAATCTTTCATATCAAATAAAAATTATTATCTTAACTTTTAAGAGTTGAATTACATTTTTTATGCATAGATAAGGTGGTATGCATGTAAAAATTGAAGTTCAAGTATTTCGATGTTGGAAGTAATCCAACGAGTCCAAGTTAATTGCAAAAATAAATTGAAAAAGACTTGTAACAGCTCTGAAAAGAAAAAAAAAGAGGGCATTTAGATACCCAATTTCTATGTATTTACATAATTAACACCTAATTTTAATTTTTATTACATTTAAACAACCCAAATCTTTCATATCAAATAAAAATTATTATCTTAACTTTTAAGAGTTGAATTACATTTTTTATGCATAGATAAGGTGGTATGCATGTAAAAATTGAAGTTCAAGTATTTCGATGCTATCTTGATTTGATTGTTGGAAGTAATCCAACGAGTCCAAGTTAATTGCATTCTAATATCATTTTAATGCCTAAATATGATATGCAATTCGGGGGAATCAATATGAACCGTCCGATAATAAATTTATTTATTTTTAGTCAATATAACTATAATGTTTCTCTCCAAAATTTAAGGTGTACTTTGCTATACAAAACTTGTGTTTGGTAAATTATGCCTCATTGGTAGACTCACATTTAAATTTATTTACTATAAGCTATTTATATGATAAGTGATGTCAAATTTGCTTCTAAAATTAACAAAATAGCACCATGCCCTTGCAAGCCATGGCCTGTTGGTATTGCCGTCTCTTTAAAGGTCGTAAGTCCCCTCAGGTCACGAGTTCGAATCTCCCTCCGGCCATTCTTTATATATATATATATATATATTGGAGAATATGACTACTCTTTGGGATCATTTTATGTACCATATTGGTTTCATAATGGTGAGAAGTTTAGACCAAGTTCCCTCTTATCAATCTTTCTTCCAATCTAGAAGGTGTAGAGCATAACCCTAATCCTCGAGCATGTAGTTTAAATTTGAGATCACTAATTCAAATTTTAGATCAAAATATTACGAGCCAAACTCGAACATTATAATATTACTTTTGAGTGAATGCAATACAAAATTAATTAACTAATTAACAATATATTGCACGCATTTCAAAGCAAATTCAACGGATATAAAAGTCGTCGTGGCTTACCCAAACTTCTCCATTCTCTTTCATGGGGGGCTTGAAGGACCCCTAAGATTGTATTTGAATGCTAAGAATTTGAGTAGATGGACATGAAAACAAAAGGAAAAATTTAAACAAAATAATAATAATAATAACAATAATAAAATCAAGAAGTTTCAACTAGAAGAAAATAAAAAAAAAAGGAACATTTTTATCATTGTTAACAGTGTCATAACAACTCTTCAAATGATATGCTGAGATTATAAATTGTTTCATGTTTTATGAAAAATATACTTACCAGAATGAATAATTATGATTTCTTCTGGAGAAAAATATGGAGTTCATTTCTCATGAACAAGAGGACTATAGACAGGGTACCACATACTGCGAGCAACATAGTCCATGGTTTCCTCCTGGAAAATTAAATGATTTAGAAAACACATAAAAATGAAAGAAACAAACACTCAATTCTTATGTATTTGCATATTTCACACCTAAATTTTCATATTTAAATAGATAACATTCAAATATTTGATATTACATCAAAATTAGCAATATTACCACTTTTTAAGAGTGAAATACAGCTTCTCATGCATAGTTTTAAAACATCAGTGTTATGTATGTAAATAGGAAAGTTTAGGTAGGTGTGAGATATGTAAATACAACAGAATTGTGTGCTAGGCATGTAAATTTCTCTAAAAAGAAATACCTGAGACATTTGCATTAGTTCTTTGATGCCCACATCACCCTGGCCTTCAGCAAGATCTTCAGCAACAGCAGCACGGAGTACAGCTGCCCCAACGTGCGTTGTAATGTGTCGAATGCTGTGATATACACAGCATTATCAAGCAATATGCCCAAATGCAGGCATGAAACATGGGAAAATTACATACACATCCCTTGAAACATTGACATTTACAAAACTAGTTTGATTTTTTTCAAACCATCAAACCGATTCATCCATGCGAATCAAGATCAAACCATTGAGAAAATCAAAAATAGGTCGGAGTATCTTGACACTTTTCTCATTTTTAGTATTAAATAAACAAAAATAAAATGCAATGAAGTACTAAATGACATTAAAATAAATGGCTCAAGAAGCGCTCTTATTACCTTGAAATAGAAGGGAAAAGAATGCCTTTATGAATATCTTCTTCAGTCATGTACGAGGCCAAACTGGTTGCGACAAAATTATGTTATTAGTCTTGATGTGATGCAAAAATATACATATATAATAAAATGGAATCTTAAAAAAAACCATCTTTGTGGAAATCAAAATTATATTGCAGTCAAATAATGAAAGATTGTTTTTTTCCCGACTTCACTGTCAACGCATTACCCATTAGTCCCATACTCAGATAATCTGTGCTGCATTGCCATTGAAAAGCAGCACAATGAAAATGAGATTGGTTATTTAACGTGCGAGTAAAGTACCAAAACAGTCCCCAGACTGTTTAATGGAGCTATTTTAATTCCAAAATTTATGAGCTTTAAATTAGTCTCCAAAACTTTTAAGTTGGGGATGAAATAGTACTCCGTGGGGACTATTTCAATCCACATTAAGAGTCTGACGACTAAATTGACATTTTTATATACTCTGAGACTGAAATGATATGCAAAAAAATCGGGGGTACTATTTTGACATTCTGATTAACTGGCTCAGTTTTTGCATTTTGAATTAATAAAGGATCATGACTTACCATTCAGCTGCAGCTTGAAGCATGCCATCGGAAATAAGGTGAGCACCCGAAAGAAGTGCTCCTAAACCAATTCTGAAGTTAATATGAAGCAATTTATCAGCAGACTCATACTCATTTCTATGCCATACAGTTTACCAGACAGGCCACTACATACCCAGGGAACAAGTACATGTTATTTGCTTGATTCACATACCCTACTTTTCCATCCCCTGCTGATAAAACCTCATTAATCGTGATGTTCAATGACATTAAATGGCAAATGTAACGAGAAAGATGACGAACCAAGTTTAACATCATCGAATGGGCTCCCGCTAGCAAAAATTATGTTTTCTCCGGCGTATTTGAATGCATCTGTGGGCGTGCACTCAGCTGAGACGTTAAATAAAGATGCAGAATGTTATTATTTAGTCATTGAAATCCTTTAACTTTTATGTATTTTCAGAGGTTCAAGCAAAAGAGACCATTTGATGTAGGATTTGACATTGCAAATATTGCAGGCCGAGGTGACTCGGAAGCTTGCAAGGCCCTGAGGACCTGTTAGATTATTCATTAAAACATGCCTTTTTTTAAGCAAAAGTAAATTATACTTTCATAACAAAGATGAAAATACATATAGTGGGAACCTTAGTCCCAGAAGACATGATATAAAGTGACGAAGAAATAGGGAGCAGAATTTTTAGTTTCCCGCTCAGATAGACCATTATTATCCAGATAATTCATAGTGAATCTAGTGAAGAAGGGATTGTGCTTCTTTTTCTTTCTAAGAACATTTTAAGGAAAGTTCCTTCCTTAGTGTTAATGTCAGTATTTATATGTTGATTATTGTCCTTCCTTACCCTAACTCGTTTGCAAAGAGAAAACTCATCTAAATAATGGCAATGATAAGAGAATTTTGGAATAGATTTAACAACCATTCTTTGCTAATACTCATTCTCCTCCAAATAGAGTTGAGAAATTTTAAACTTACAACAAAAACCTTAGCAAGTAAAGTTCTTAATGGCCCAACAGTATAAATATCAATAGATTGATCAAATAGGTGAGCATATAAGTGTGGTAATGACATCTAAACAGAAGCAATTGGGCACTCATTACATGGATCAAATCTAGAGATCACCTGCGACATTGCCAGAGAAGTGAAATTTTAAATAGTGAATTGTGATATTCCTGTGAATTAGTGTTTATTATAGATATCACATATAGCAAGCATAGGTGATGAAAATGTTCTTGTCATTTTCAATGGAAGTATAAAATCAAGCAGCGATTTCAATGCAGCCTAACGATGTCGGAAGATTACCATTGTCAGATATAGCTTATGGTAGTGGAGTTCTAAATTTATCATTGAAGTTTTAAATTTTGGGGCATTTACAGACACACCACACAATTCTTGTGTATTTACATCTCTTAACACCTAAACATTCATAGTTACATGCATGCCACTTAAAGGTTTCGTATTACATAAAAAATATCACCATCACTATTTTTTTAAAAGGAAACTTTTCATGCATAGATTTATAACACCAAGGCGTTACAAGCATAAATATCAAACTTTGGGTGTAAGATAGGTAAATATATAAGAATTGTGGCATGTATGTAAATTTCCCTTAAAAATTAACAAAGTGTAGGTTCAGTGAAAGATTGCGAGTGAATCCTTGAAGTGCGGTCATGTAAACCTTTAAAAATTGTGTTTTTTAGGACAAAGGAGAAAAGTGATATAAAGGGCTTGTGCCCATCATTGTTAAGCAAATTAGGATATTTAAAAATAAATTGAGAATTTATCATTTGGAATTAATTTAAACTTCAATTGAGATTGATATTATAACAATCATATCTAATATTTCAAGTTATTCGTAACTGACACTTGGTGATTTTAAAGAATGTAATTAAGAACTTTGACTCAAACAGAATCTCTTTTAATTTTCAATCTTACGCGTACAAGTTGAATGGGTTATTTCGAATGCTGTACACATGCAACTACCTATCTCCAAGAAAAGTCATCTCGTACTGGCATGAGGCTTAATTTTTTACATTTTGATAATACTTGTCCTATTCATCAACAATATGTGATAATGCTTTCTATAGTGCACTTATTTTGAATAAAAAAGTGAATAGTCAAAAATCTAACTTACAGAAATTAAATTCAATTTGATCAGGTATTTTGCATGTTTTCAATTCATTGCTAAAAATCTCATATTATTTTGATCATGTCATCATCAGTTATTTTTAAACTAAAGTATTGTACAGTTATATTTAGAGTTGTAGACTTAATAGGGTAACCTGAGATCTACAAATTCTCAGTTTTACATGGCATATAATCATACTATACATCATACTAACTGTATTTAAGAAGAGCTAATACTGAAATGCTCCGCATCAAATTAGTATCAGATTTGATGGATGTATCATCAAGTCAATAACTAAAGACATTAACTGGTTCAGTAAATATAGATTTAATCAATTAATTCGGAGTGGCCTTTCAGTTGGATTATTAATATGCCATTTCTTATTAGATGTGCGTAAGGAATAATAAATTGCATAAATAAGATAAACAAAATTCAGTTTTATTCCAACAAATCAAAAGTAAAATGCAATTAAGGATTACAATTGTTGGCATACCTCCTCATCAAATATACCCCCAACTCCTGACAATCCCAAAAGCACATCAGGTTTCACCTTTCTAACCTGATCCATATGGAGAAAAAAAACCATGAAAATTTCATCCGAAAGAATTATTCTATTAGGTATAAAATAGTTTATGGTCATAAAAAAATAAAAAAATAGTTTAGATGGCTCAGAGAGTCCTCATAGAGATGAAACTTTATTAATGTCCAGAGTTAATATATATCAGGCGCCTGTGCCCCAGAGAAATTATTTTCAAGCTAGTCCTTACCACTTCTACGAGGCTAGCCCCTTCCTTGAGTCCCTCAACCTCACCTGGACCAGTGCCTCTGGCAAAAGAAACAGCAGCGGGATCAATGTAATTCCGTTCTTTTGTGATAAGACCCTGCGGAAATCATAAATTAACAAATGTATCATACAAAATATTCTAATACAAAACATCTAAGGCAGGCCATATTTGCTGATCAAATAATCTCAACTCTAATATGATAAGCATCTCGAAAGCTATACATAAGGTTGTGATTTTCGTCACAGTTCTCGTGTTGCTGGCTACAGAATTAAGTAGTAATAGTTTAAACTCACAGTTTCCAACTAAAAAAGAAAAAAAAAAAAGAAGAAGATCATAATGATTAGCACATGACAGTTTCAGGTTTCTTTATTTGATCTTCATAAAACTCATTAAATCAAATGCCATCTAAGCTGCCAAAAAGCCATCTACCATCCAATGTCCTGTTCTCGATTACTTGAGATAAATTGAATTTGAATTGATTTAATCCAAAAAGAAATAGATGATTCGAGTTAATTTTCTCTCTCAATCATCCATTTCTACAAAAATAAGCCTCAAGGAAAGGGTATATAACTCTCAAATAAACAATTTGCCATATAGCTTTACTTGTATAAATATGGAATATACTATTGAAGAATTACAATGCACTAAAGCTGGCAAGCCTGGCATACATGTTTATCAAGAACCCAGAATTGGCGGCTTGCTTCTACATTTGCATTGCCTCCATGCATTCTCTCCATTGCTTGCTTGGCCATTTTAAGTACGCCAATCCCTGCACTGAACATTTGGAAAACATTTGGAAATAGGTGTGTGTGTTATTTGGTCAAAACTTAAAAAACCAAGCCGATCCGAACAAATTTGATTGATTAAGTTCGGTTTCAAAAATATATTTTGATTTTTTTATTTTTAAAACTTAAAAAATTGTTATTCGGTTATTGGTTTTATTATAGTTTTTATTTAACTAAAAAAATCGAAAAAGCAAAAGAATTGAAATTAAATGGAGGATTTATGAAATTAAATCGACTTTTATGTAATGGTTAATGTTTGTTCAAAACCGGACTCTAACTAAAACTAAATTTCAGTCTGTTCATAACCAAACTATTTAAACCGAATTAAATTTTGGTTCGGTGTTTAGTTTTATCAAAATTTGATTGGCTCAGTATTTTAGATATCGGATTTAAGATGCAATTAGTTTGACTAATTTGAAAACCGATGCATCCAAACCGACGGAATGCTAAATCCTAATTGGAAAGGCTCTTATGAAAGGTTGACTTGATTGACTAATTGGCATATCTTCAGGAACTTTTGCAAACTTTAGACAGTGCTTCCAACAAAAATCATGGAGACTGTGAAGTACCTTCCAGCTCCTGCCACAACAATCTTCTGATTTACGAAGTCCTTGAGAGGTCGACCTTGTGCCCTTACAGCACCAAGTAGGCCAGCTAAAGCAACACCAGCAGTTCCCTATACACTTAAAAATATATGTGATGATAAGTGGAATTGATACATTCATAAGTGAACTTAACAATCTGGCATCACTGCTAGCCATCACAATTGAAAATTGAAAAAAATAAAGAAAGATTTACATAAATTCCACTCAATTCCTATTTATTTACATATCTAACACCAAAACTTTAAATTTTACATACACACCACCTTACTTACGCATGAAAAGGAGTATTTCATTTTTTAAAAGTTAAAATGGCCGTATTGTTTTATGTGAAATCAATATTAATGCTGTCTAAATGCCCTCAAAAACGTAAAAGGCTATGTTTAGGTTTTAGATATGTAAATGCATATGAAGTAGGTGGCATGTATGTAAATGACCCCAAAAAAAAACTTAAGTTAGATATCGAAGGGCAGAATAACCTGCACATCATCATTGAACATGCAAAATCTTTTGCGATAACGCTCAAGTGTTTCAAAAGCCCATTTCATCTGGAAGTCTTCAAACTGGAATTTATTGAGAGAGTTAAGTAGCATGAGCATAACCAATAAATCATAAACTACGGCCAACGAAAGAAATTTACCTGCACAATCACATTTGGCCAGCGTGAATATGCAGCTTCCATGAACTCATCAACTATGGATAAATATTCATCTCCTTCAAGCCTGGGTTGCCGTAGTCCTAAATCTAGCAATATGTGGAAATAAACGAAAGTAATTATTCCCGCATGAAAATCTGTGTTATGATATAGTATAAATAGTTCTCGAGTGCTGTGAAAACTGAATACCTGAAGATGAGAGGTGAAACAAAATCTAGTCCCAATAAATTTTTAAGAGAAAATTTTGATCTTTTTCTTTCACAGCCTAGCTTTTTGGCCCTTTGCTTCTTTATTATATTGCATTTGATCCTTCAGTATAAATTTTGTCAAGTGTTTATATCAATCATAAGCATATGAATCATGATGTCACCTTTTAACGAATCAAAACAAAATTTAATATAAAGGGGAGGGATAACATGAGGGAGAGGGATGAAGGAAGGATGAGAAGTTGTGGTGGTGTATTAACAATAACTCCCTACCATCAAATATCAACTCAATTCTTGGGTTGAGGCGTGTTTTGCAAGTTCAAAGCAATAAAGTGATAGTGGACAGATGAGGAGAACATGAACGAAAACCACAAAATGTCCCAACCCTCTGATGCATTGTGTTGGGGTCTCCAAATTGAAAGAGGGGAAGAAAGTGCAAGTGAAGGAGGTTAAAGAAAAGAAAGAGAGAGATGGACCCCAATAAGTAAGATGTAGAATTTAAAAGTGATGAGAAGGGAATTCAATAACTTAGTGAAGGGAATAACATATATTCCAAGAATATTTCTATTTATAATGTTTAATTCTTTATCTTTCTTAGAATAAAAATAACAAAATTAAAAAAGGAAGCTTAAGCTTAAGCCTTCAAACTTTAAGCATGAGAAATCATTCAAAAGAAGCCTTTTTTAGTATATTAGTTGCTAAACTAAACCTAGAATTAATAACCCAAAAGGCACACAAATGACAATCACGGTCTGCTCAATCTCCATGTTATAGAGATACAAGTGTAACATTATAAGAAAAGCCTTGCACTTTCTTAAACGGGATAATAACAAATTGAGAGAAGCATAATGAGATTCTTAACATATAAGAATAAGCAACCAACTGTTGCCTAGATTTAATACTAGTAAATATGGCCTCTATAGCTTGACACATGAAAATGTTTAAAAAGGCAATAAGTACAAGAAGTTAACCAAGATAGTAAAAAACAATTTTGCTGCAAGTATAGGCTTCTTTACATTCTTTGGTTAGTGTTTGAAGTCAAACAAAAGACAGAAAACAATAGTATACTAATATCAACAGAGATTTCAACTACATGTGCATGCAATAACGCATTTTTTTGTGTATTTTAGGCTTATATGGGTAAGGATGTGTTCTATCTTTTAAATTTTCAATAACTGAAGTTCTGGTATCAAACAGATGCAAGTAAAATTCAGAATATATCTCCGAAATAAAGGAAAAAAACTAAAATGAACCAGAAAAGGCATGCAGTTCAAAATGAAGATCATTTGCCATGAATGTTATATTTAAAAATAGATTTCACTCACAAAGATTATCTTCTAGAAGCTTTTGGTTGTTGGTACCTACATCAAGCATGACTGGCAGTATCTGCACAAGATTGGAAAAAATGATCAGGTACTTTTACAGCAACAACAAAGACTAAGGTAGCCAATAGTGCGTGCAAGTAAGATCTACAACCAAAAATCATTCAGCAAGAGCAAGTACAATAAACACTTGAGAATAGTGTTGGAACAAAAATTTAAGTAGATGAGTGGCAAAATAAAAAATCATGGAGTGGCAAGCATTCAAGTTGCTGGAACCAAAATTTAAGTGGAGAAATGACAAAATAAAAAATCATTGAGTGGCACGTATTTAAGTTTAAAACTTCCTCTATTTAAATTTATTTTTGTTAAACTATTATAAAGGTAATTATTAAATTAAAATATATTTAATATTAACTTATTATTATTTTAATGTATTATATGATATTAAAAAAATTAGTAAAAATCTAAAAGTGGTAGGTTCACCCACACCACTAAGGGTATAAACGAGATGTCGATCTCAAGCAACTTTCGGCTTAAGCTCCAGCTGGATTAATTAATTGAGTCTGAGATACAAGAGTTTGGCATAAAAACCCGATAGAAAGCATTCCTTGTTACCAAAACTTGATCACCATCAGAAATTCATTCCTTGATTACAATCACTCCATTTCTAACACAAAAAGAAGTGACAACTACACAAAAGGAAGTGAAAACACTTGATCACAATCACTCCTTACCACTCTTACACAATTCTTACATAAAATACTCCTAGAGTTCTTCCCCCGTGTTCCAAGAGTGTCTGAAAGAACTTTTCAGTCTTATTTCAGAGTTTTTATGCATCATCCTTAGTCGAACCGTAACCGTCAATAAGCCACCCAAACCACCCTAGTCGGTGCAGGGGCGCGACAGTGCTGGCCAAACAACGTCAAATTGTTGGATAAAGGTGCATCAGAGCTAGCTTGGGTGTTGTATTTTGTGGCTCCGGATTGTCAAATTAGGCCATTGAGGCATTATGACACTGAAGCACTAGTCTCTAGCGCAGAAGTGTTTCCCCTCTAGCGCCGAGGTGTCCTGCTCTCTAAATTTTTCGCTCAATGTGGCTAAATTAGATGTTGAGGCACTCACTATAGGGTGTTGGGGCGCTCCATACGACTTGGTGAATTTTGCTTAAAGTGGTTCCATTTTTTTTATATACTACATATACATACCAATTATGATCACTACAAAAATAAAAATGATACAATTAATGCAGTAAGCACACTATATAACACTACACATTTTATACACGTCAAATTCTTCCAAACTTTAACATTACTTGCCCTCAAATAATTCAATACCTAAATTTAAACTTTTTGAAACTCATGATAAACCTTGCCTTAGGATTATACTGTTCTTTAGTAATAAAATAAATAGATATATAAAAAAGCACATATATCATTTTAAGATTAAATTATTATTAAAACATAATACTTAATATTACTAATATTAATATTCTTAAACATATATATCCTTAAATCACTTATGTATATCTGACATAAATAATTTTAATTCAAACATATATAATTCAATTGTAATTATCAATCGAATAATTTTAGGGCGTGTTTATTTCAGCTTTTCAGCCCGCTTTCAAAACCAATTTCCAAAATTCTAGTGTTTGAGACTGCAGCTGTCAAGCTGTCCAGCGGCACAAATTTGATGAAGGGTCCAGACTGCAGCTGTCAAGCTGCTTCCCGCGTCCAGCATCCCATGTTCATGGCCAATTCCCAAATTTACCCGTGTGGAATGCTTGGCTGCAAGGAATTGTGGGTCTAACTTTTTTTTTTAAATAATTTTGTCAATTTAGTATAAGAGGTATTGTCAGCGCTTAAAAGAAAGGGGGAAAAGAGAGTTTTTTTTTTTTTAAAAGGTTTGGGGGTCGCCCGTAAGAAGCTGTCGGTCGCCGGAATCGAAATCCCGTTGCCCGCTTCGGAAGGACTTTTTAATTTACGTATATATATATATATA